AACTTGTGAAGCAAATAGATTCCAGGAACCAGTTGGATAAGCATGCCTATTTACTTCTTCCCACCACTCCCACCCGCCTCTCACCAGAAACATGAAGAGCAGAGAAAGAAACAGGCTTCTGCTAAAGAAAAGGCAAAAAAGAAAAAAGAGAGCAGAATAGAAGGATGGAAAACATTCCAACAGTAGAAAGAGGCCAAGAGGTTTCATTTGGTTTATTGCATTTAACAAACTTAAGGGTAGCAGGTGATAGCCCATATCCAAGCACTTAATTTGCTGCAATACAACGATGTTGGTTAAAAAAAAGATGATAAAACAAAGCGAAACGCCCATCTAAAAAAAACAAAGTGAAACGTGTATATATAATGTAAATCCTTTTCCACAGAGGGAGGAGGGGAGAAGAAAAGGAAAAACCCTAAACTATATTTCTGAGTCAAAACTACTTAAACTTCCTTCAAGAATTCAGCAGCTAATAGCCTAATACAAGTGTACTACTAAAACTACATTGTTATTTATTTTTTCCAGAAGGACAAAAAATAAGACCTTTTCCTTGATAACAAGTGAAAACTGGAGCACTATTAAAATCATCATAGGCAGATGATCTATCACAAAATTATCGGTGTCCAATGGAAACACTTAACTTTCTGTTCATCCATTAAGTAGCTTGAAGAAAGAAATTCAACAAATTAGACCTAGACTACAATTTTCTTATGGGAAATTATCTGTAAAATTAACTTAACTAGATTATGTAAGGAAAGCTCAAGCATCACTATTCTCATTGTGCTAAGATCTGGGTTCAAATGAACATTGCTTGCTCATATGCCACTTGCTACTACAAAATTTATAAGTAGATGCCACTTGCTACAGTTTCTTTGATACGTAGATGCCACTTGCTACAGTTTTTTTGACACATGGATGCCACTTGCTACAGTTAAGATAGAAAATTAAAGCATTTTTAGTGAACTTCGAAACACCAACAAGTACTTACCTAGCAACAGGCAATAGTTAAAAAACTCTCTTCATTGCACCTACACAGACTTGAACTCATTTCATAGGAATATATAAATCCTATAAATAGTGCAACACAACTGAAGGGCGAGTCTTGGGTTAAAAAGTTTTAACAGTTAATCTGCAGCTTAGAAGGGAGTGCTAACTCTCGAAAACCGTGCATTTAGCACAACTAAGAATAGCTAATACACCCTCTTCAAGAGTGCCTACATAGAGTTTTCACAATCCCCTGTTCAAATCTGCAATAGGGGTCCAGTCCACGTGCAGATAAGTAATGTTTCAGAAGTTTGAAACTCATTATATGTGAACATAATCTTAAATATTTCCACATGAAATTCCTTTTTAACAAGAACAAAGTAATAGGGAATACAACCCAAACACATCTCTATAATCAAGGCCCAAAGGCCAGAACAACTAAATGACCCATCTAAAATTAGACCCAGATTCTACCAACAATTCTACCATGAATTGCCCTTTTAGTGGCAAATCTTAATTCATAACAATGTCTCTTTTGGCTGATTGTACTTTTTTGGAAGAGTAACTTCTCTCTGCAAGCAGTATGCATGTATTCACTGACAACCTACAAAAATAAGAAGTATATAAACAATCTCCAAAGCACTTGCTAAATGTGATAATGGAATGTTATGGTGATTGTAACAACACGCCAATAACAACCACGTGGACCATAATGCAAATTCCCCAGCGTAGGTGTTAAAGATCTCAGAACTACTCCTTATGTATTTGTTCCCTTACATATAACTGGAATGTCAAGTAAGACATGAGAGGAATCCATTTTTCTACTTCACTAACTAGGAAAAAGCGACAACCATCCTGTAAATTGTAAAACATTTGAAGCAAAATCACAATCAGAACGAGACACTTTACCTTCTTGATATCCCTTAGAGCAAAGAGTCCAATGCAAACCTCTCCATTGACCATCCACTGTCTCAGCAAGCGAAAGAAAGTGAGTCACAACAGTACTCGATCTATGTTAATGTGTACAGAGAACAAGCTTTAAAAACATATCAAGCATTTCTGCTGACGACGTTAAGAGCAGGGGGAGAGTGGAGGGGGACGGAGCTGGACTGATCTTCATGCAATTAGCGAAAGATCTAATTCACATTAAGGTGCACTCTTTAAACGCACTTATTTACTTATCGCCAGTGATAGAAAATAGGATGAAATTGCAAACACAAAATTGGCTGTAGTCAATCACAGATAGTTGAGAGACCAACCAACAAGGTAAAATAATAATCTTAGTATTTTGCAATACAAGTCTAATAGATAGAAAATGTTAATAAGAAAGCTCTATTCCTATCGTTGTTTTACAGTTAGCAGCCAATGATAGTCCTAGTTTCAATAATTCAATAGCCAATAAGAAGTGGCCTGCTATACTTATGTGTAGACTGAGTAAACAAAGCAATACTCTTGAATTAGATCACTGATGATTAATATCAATTAAGCTGCACTGATTTAGAAGCATAATTCATTAGAGGTACATCAGATACTACAATAGTACCTTATCAGAATAAATATATGGTAATATTATATCCAATATTTTGGTATTTAAACCTGTCAGTTCTGCACTTAAACTTCTCTAGAATTTTACTTTCAATGAATAACTCTGCAAACTTCAGAATATTTTAGAAAAAAATAGTATCATGTTGCTAATTTGCTCGAGCATTAAAGTAGAACTATAGAAGTGTATGATGATGGTTTTGGCGTCGCACAGTAATAAGCAGAACTTATAAGTCAAAATAAAGAAAAGAGGATGGATAATTTTTCACAGGTGAAAAATATCCAATTTTCTCTTAGGACCCGCTTACAGTGTGGCGATGTGATGTTACAGGAAGACTATTTTGGTACATACGGATGGAAAAAGATGGAGGCATTTCATGGCAAGTAAATCTTTGCTCTTATTAAATCCTACGTGATGTTTGACTTCTTATGCATTTTGCTCGCTTCATGGAGAAGCAGAATTCCTATCAGGACTAGCGCAATTCTGAAAGAACATTCAAGGCATTTTTTACAGTTCTCTGCATATTTTTCTGTATTTCACTATTTGAGCTTGTGACTTGCATAGAGGTGGTTGTATTCTCTGGTGATGCACTTTAAGAATACACCCACATGTTTAACCTATTAAACATAGTTCTAAAGGAAAAAGAACACTAGGTTCCCGTACATCACTGGAAGCTTGAAAAAAATATAATGAATGGTTAAAATTAATAATACAGATCTTAAAGTGACAACCACAGAAATCCACAACCATAGGCTCACTCCAAAGCAAGACAGGTTAGCATCTGTACAAGGTTTCACTAAAGCTATAAGAAAGTGGCATTACAGGTCTCTGACAGTAAGTAGCAAAGGATGATTCCACAATGAGGATATAATTCAGCAGCAACAGGTATTAGAAAAGGTCTGGCTCGTGACTGTAGTAACTTCAGGCAAAATGCCAAATATTGCATTACCCACAGAAGAAGTCAAAGAGAATTGTATCCCAATGACAGAACTCTACGGGTGGTGTAATTTAAAACTGAATCAAACCAAATGATACATGGGAACATTTGCTACCATATAAATGACAATTTCATTCTAAAATGCATCTCATATAAGTAAAAATATGTGCCTTGAAAGTGCACACGTCACGAGATAGACCCAGTTGAAATCATGTAATCCAAATGCATTAGCACAAAACTTTTTTTCCTTTTTTGCATATTTCAACACTTTTTTCCCAATGAAAAATAAAAGAAAAGCACCATTCAGCTTTACAAACAATATTAATCTCCTACATAAACAATACATGTCCAATCAAGGCAACTATACACAAAATGAGGCAGCAGAAGGGCCAATAGAGGGGAAGGAATTTCTGGTTTTCGCACAAAACCTTTTTAGAAGAGATTGCCGTACTTTACGAAAACTGAATAGAACATGAAAGCAAGATTTTGGACAAAGTGTAAAGCAATCACCTTTTCTGTACGGCAATTAGGATCACAGCTATGGTTAATGAAACGACCCAAATTCCCTTTAGCACACGCATCTATAACCTGAAATATGAGGCGTGAAAAGAACATTACACAATAAGGTGATTTAGGTGAGAGAAAATTGAACAATTATAATGCCACAATTATCAGTCTTCACAAATCTACACTAGTCACTGGAAAGTGATAGCAAGATTAAGTTAGTACATACAGAGAATGTCACAAAGTATAGACGACTGGATAACAGGATATGTAC